ATGCCTGCTGTTCTCACGTAAATCCACTAAGGCCGCTTTCGATTGACTGACCAACCAATCGATAACCCCTCCCACCTCCTTCCCTTAACTCAACCGATAGTGTTTAAAAAAGAACCGATTGACCAGCGGCAACCCAATTCCCTTAACCCAACTAATAGTGTTTTGAAAAGCAATCCAGAAAAAGAAAAGCCTCCCAGATTTTAACCACGTTTTCTGATTTTACCATATTCTCACCCTGTTATTTACTTGATTTATTTTTATTTTATTTTAGTTTAGTTATTATTTTTATTTTTTGTTGGCTTTGTTTTTGTCTTACTCAATTTTTGGAACCGTTCTTTGCTCTGTATCTCAAATCCGCAAATAAGATAATACTGTATATCATAATATCGCGATAATACTGTATACTGTGATATCATTATAATTCTGTATACCATGATATCGTAATAATGCTGTATACCATGATATCATGATAATACTGTATATCGTGATATCGCGATAATACTGTATACTGTGATATCATGATGATACTGTATACTGTGATATCGCGATAAAACTGTATACTATGATATTACAATAATATTGTATACAGTGATAATACTGTATACTGTGATATTGCAATAATACTATATACTGTGATATTGCAATAATACTGTATATCGTGATAATACTGCATACCGTGATATCACGATAATACTGTATACAGAAATATTGCGATAATACTGTATATCGTGATTATACTGTATACTGTGATATTGTGATAATACTGCATACCGTGATATCACAATAATACTTTGTACCGTAATATTGCGATAATACTGTATATCGTGATAATATTGCATACCGTGATATCACGATAATACTTTTTACCGTAATATTGCGATAATACTGTATATCGTGATAATACTGCCTACCGTGATATCACTATAATACTTTTTACCGTAATATTGCGATAATACTGTATATCGTGATAATACTGTATACCGTGATATCACGATAATACTGTATACCATGATATCGCGATAACACTGTATACCAAGAAATCGCATTAATACTGTATACCATAACATCCCGATAATACTGTATGCTGTGATAAAAGCTTCAACAATTATTCACAAGAAAATGTGATACAGGCTCTGTTGTTGACCTCACCTCTAGCATTTTCTCTTATTGCCATCTTATGTCAGCACTGCTTCTGTGATGTTTCAAACTATCCTTTCTGGCGTCTGTCTCTTTGTCTTTTTCTTTGTACAGCTCGGATTGCGTAACGGAGTGAAAAGAGCAGCCTCATCTACATTCTTCGCGCTTCAGGCTCAACACACATCCACTAAATGTGACAGAGCGCACAAGTCAAACACACTACAGACAGACAGACATGAGAGGAACCTAAACACAGATCGCTCTAGTGAGACTGTACAAAAGTCACTGTCGGAAGAAAGAAGGTTGAACTGTTTGCAAATGCAAATTTAGAAAATGGAGGAGTTAGCATCGTACATTTTTATGAAATGTGTAACACTCAAAAGGAAATGCTTTATTAGGGTCAATTAGGCTGTGTTTACACTGCATTCAAGTGACCCAATGATTTATTTTGGATCAGATATGGCACACATACAGCTAAGATTCTGATTTACTTAGATCATGTTTAGGCCTCATTCATATGTAGAAATGTATGCAAAAGAAATTGAATATGTGAGCTCGGTACATATTTGACGATTGGTATCGGCCGATAATTACCTTTAATGACTTGATCAGAACTCACTGATCTGGCTGATCTCATAAACACAAGTGTTACGGTGCATCCGGAAAGTATTCATAGCGCTTCACTTTTTCCACATTTTTTTACGTTACAACCTTATTCCAAAACTAAATTAACTTATTTCCTCAAAATTCTACACACAATACCCCATAACGACAATGTGAAAAATATGTTTTAAATTGTAAATTTATTAAAAATAAAAAATCACGTTCACGGCTTTTGCCGTGAAGCTCTAAATTGAGCTCAGGCACATTCCGTTTCCACTGGTCATTCTCGAGATGTTTCAGCAGCTTAATTGGAGTTCACCTATGGTCAATTCAGTTGATTGGACATTATTTGAAAAGGCATACACCTGTCTATATACGGTCTAAGGGTTGACAGTGCATGCCGAAGCACAAACCAAGCATGAAGACAAAGGAATGGTCTGTAGACCTCCGAGACAGGATTGTCTCGAGGCACAAGGCTGGAGAAGAATCCAGAAAAATGTTAGATGCTCTGAAACTTCCAATGAGCACAGTGGCCTCCATCATCCGTAAGTGGAAGATGTTTGGAACTACCAGGACTCTTCCTAGAGCTGGCCGGCCATCTAAGCTGAGTGATCTGGGGAGAAGGGCCTTAGTCAGGGAGGTGATCAATAACCTGATGATCACTCTGTCTGAGCTAAAGTGCTTTTCTGTGGAGAGAGGAGAACCTTACAGAAGGACAACCATCTGTGCAGCAATCCACCAATCAGGTCTGGATGGTAGAGATGGTAGAGACCATAAGAAACTAAGTTCTCTGGTCTGATGAGACTAAATTTAAACTCTTTGCCAGGCGTTATGTTTGGAGAAAACCAGCCAGCACTCATCACTAGGCTAATACCATCCCTACAGTGAAGCATGGTGGTGGCAGCATCATATTGCGGGATGTTTTTCAGCAGCAGGAACTGGAAGACTAGTCAGGATAGAGGGAAAGATGAATGCAGCAATGTACAGAGACATCCTGAATGAAATCCTGCTTCAGAATGCTCATGACCTCAGACTGGGGCGACGGTTCATCTTCCAGCAGGACAATGACTCAAAGAACACAGCCAAAATATCAATATCATGTTTTTTTGTGGTTTCACAACAACTCTGTGAATGTCTATGAGTGGCCCAGCCAGACCCCAGACCTAAATCCTATTGAACATCTCTGGAGAGATCCGAAAATGGCCGTACACCATCGTTTCCCATCCAACCTGATAGAGCTTGAGAGGTAATGCGAAGAGGAATAGACAAAAGTTCCCAAAGACAGGTGTGCCATAGTGGCTCCATGACACTACTAGTAAAAAAAACCAAAAAATTATGGAGTAGAGAGTGAATGAGCAAAAAAACAGATCACGAGAGGCACAGTGATGGTTTAAGCATTGCATTTGTTAGGTTAAATGAATAAAGCAGTAGGGAATCACTGCAAATCTCCCTCTCTTTCATTGAGCTGCTGTGGGGCTAACTGGTGCTGTGGTCAATATTTGGAGTTGAACAAAATATTGGAATGGCTTTGCATGTATTTAGGCCCTTTAGACATTATTGCAAGTTCACTAAAACCAGACTGGTAGGAGTGCAGTAGACCTTCAGCACCGATGTGATTTGTAACAGGATGACATCATCACACCCAGCCCCATCAAACTGCCAATACAAGGGCTGCTAATGCGGGCAAAGAACACATATTTTACTCTCTAAATTAGGTTGGGTGGGAGGTCGGCGATAAAACTACAACCACCAAAACCAAACAATGTCCATCGCACTTAACGTTGAAAGACAAGCCAAAAAATTCTGATCACTTGCATATCTGAGGCTGGCCGATAAAACTGGTCTCGAGCGTGCACGAGAGGTGCCAGGCGACCATAATGATAAATCAGAATGGCAAAGAGAGACACAAGCAGCCAGTGATCAGACCCAAGAGAGCGCTCGTCTCCATAATGTTCTGTTCAATCAATACAGGAACGCCTTTACACACATACGAGACAGCCCGTTCCTCCTCTATACAAACCAGCAAGACTCCTCCAGCTTTCTCTCCATACAAAGACTACCAGGGACTACATAAAGCTTCAGATTTATTTTTTGGATTAATGTATTTGAGAAGTAATGATACAATACATTTTAATATACTGTAACTCATATATGATTTACAAAATGATTAGCCCTCCTGTGAAATTTTTATTCCGCTGTTTAATAGAGAGTAGTTCTTTTTCCTTTTTCTTTATTACATTTTTTCAAACATATTTTATAAACATTCTAGTTTAAGCTACTAATTTTTAATTAATCATCTGTTTTGTCCCCATGTTTGGTGAGTTACATAATATTTAACAAATTATTATGCAATACTAGTGTAACGGAGGCCAGCTAGCAAAGTGCTATGCAGGTTAACCACACTAGAGGCCATGATCTTTAGCCTCCTTGTTAGAGCAACTGACTCCGACCGGTTTGCCGGTTTGATATCAGCTTAGACTGGGTGGGTGCAGTAGGATCGGTGGATTACTTGTGGGGGCTCGTCCAGGATAGAAGTGAGGTTTACGGGAGGTGAGTGTAACAGAGGTCAGCTAGCGAAAGGCTATGCAGGTAAACCTCACTGCTCTGACCTCAAAAGGTGCTCTAGCGACAGAGGTCATGGTCTTTAGCCACTTTCTTAGAACAACTGAATCCCATACAAAGAATTGCCAATTCGATTTCAGCTCAGAACAGGTTGGGTGCAGTAGAACCAGTGGGTTACACATTGGGGCTTGTCTTAATCTCTAAAAATCAGGGGTCGCTACAGTGGAGAGAACCAGGCATATGTTTTACACAGCGGATGCCCTTCCAGTCATAACCCAGCACTGGGAAACATCCATGCACTCTCTCATTTACACACACTCTCATACACTACCGCCAATTGAGCTTATTCGGTTTACCTATACCACATATCTTTGGACTAAAACCAGAGCACCCAGAGGAAATCCACGTAACCATGCAAACTCCACACAGAAATGCCAACTGGCCCAGTCGTGACTCAAACCAGCAACCTACTTGCTATGAGTCATGAAACATGAAACGACACGGCAAGTTTAGTTCAGATGGTTATATATGCATATATAAAGCATTGCTCGAATGTTTTCGAAACAAAGCCTCAAGAAAAAGTCTCATTTTCAAAATTTGGCATAACCCTGCAAAATAAATCAAGTGGGCCAGGGTTTTTCGGAGCTGGGTTGTTTAGATATGGGACAGACGCTGGAGAAAGATTAGCTGAAGCTCACCTCCACAGGGAATCTCCTGCCATTGATGCTGTGCTCCGAGCCGTCGGAACCATTGCTCTGGCCCCAGTGGAACTCCACCTTCTCGGCTTTGAAACGGCCCGGTAGCCCGGCTCCTCTCACGAAATAATCGTCCTTCAGAAAGATCGCCACTGTGAGGAAAAAAGAAAGAGCTTTCATTTCATGTAAATAAAACAAATACATTCACTGCAAAAAAGTGTTCTTACTTAGATTTTTCTAGTCCAAATATCTCAACATTCTTAAACCAAGAAGCATTCTCTATATATGCAAAACATTCAGTTTTTTTAAGAATTAATTTAGTCAAAATGAAAAAGGGAGTGAAAAGTTAGTTACCTTAGAGGTACCATGAAATTAAATAAAAGTTTTTTAGAAGTTAGGACTAGTATTGTTCCTTAGGATATCCACAGTGTAAGTTAGTGTGCACCAAAACAGTACCCCTCTCCCCCCATTTTTGATGCACTGGAGTTCAACCATCCTCACTAGCAGTGCATAAAACAATTGGTAAAACAAAACGCTGTTGGCTGTTTTTAAAAAAGGGGAGGAGCTACACTGCCCCAACTTCTCTTTATGTTTAGATTGAGATTACGCCAAGCATTAAATAAAATGGCGGTGGGTGAGGGGGCGGGGGATGAAATTAAGTGAGTTTTCCAGGAGAAATAACAAAAAGGGAGGGTGGCGGTAGATGGGTCTGAAATATAGAAAATATATAGAAATATATTTTTAATATAGAAATATATTATAGAAAATCATGTTATTTTTAAAAAAAAAAACAAAAAAAAAAACGACTATCATATATCCTAGTTCCTCCAAAAGCCTGCCCTCAAGAGGCTCTGATTGGTCAGCTAACATAATGTGCTGTGAATTGCGGATCGGCTTTAAGTCACCAGGAAGTGTCACGCCTCTACTAGCACGCGCTGTGCCTCTGCTGTGTAAATTTTGTCAGTCAGTGTAGCCATAGGCCAGGGGTGGCCAACAGCCACCTTCCTGCAGGTTTCAGTTGCTGCCCATATCAAACACACCTGAACCAATTAATTAGAACCTGAACACCACATGATAATGACAGGCAGGTGTGTTTGATATGGGTTGCAACTGAAATCTGCAGGAAGGTGGCTTTTCAGGAACAGTGTTGGCCACTCCTGCCATAGTCAGTTAGGCAGTATAATACAGAGAGTGAATCAAATAAATAGATCAATATATATATATATATATATATATATATATATATATATATATATATATATATATATATATATATATATATATATAATATAATATTAGACACACATCTGATGCTTGTATTTGCAGCAGCTCCACGTCCACAACTTTACGCATTGGGTTTAATTAGGCTGTCCAGTCTCCGTGTTCAGTCCTTTACTTCTACTATACGGAACAAATCCAGTGATATTCAGACACAGCAATATTATACACAGTGGCGCCCCATGTCTAAAATCTATAGTAAAACATGCCTTTTTCTTCTAAATGGTTACATTAATAGAGTTTGTTTAATATATTTTAATTAAAGTAGAATCGAGTGTACAAAATAATGTAAATTTGACAAACTGCTTCATTTCCCATTAAAAAAAATTGTCTCACAAAAACCTCAAGAATTGAGTCGTGTCAGCTCATTTTAAATAAGTAGTTTGAACAAGCAGCAAAATCTTTCTTTTGAGTGCACACTTCCTTTCTGCCATTGCTGTCGCCCTCAGAAGGCCATGTGCCAAATGAAGCAATAATTTGTCTGAGAGAAGACATTTCCCCTTCTCTCTCTGTCAAATCGCTCTTTTTGATTTCTTTTGTTATTTCATAAAACCCAGGTCTTAAAAAAGGATGAACCAATAATGAAAGCTTTTCCATCCAAAAAAAAAAGCATTTAGACATCACAAATTGGTCTTTCGCACCAGGACCGCACTTTAATTAATGGGCGCGACCCTAAATAGCGTAGCCTTTGTTGGGCAGATTTCCTTTTCTGATTGAATTTCCGAATGATTTTAGCTTGCCACCAGAGGTTTGTGTCCTATTTAAAAGAACGGCTCCTCTGAAACCTCGCTTGTAATCTTAGCGAAACAGGCTAGTGTCCAAACGCTGAGATATTGAAGCAATCAACTGGTGGCAGGCTGAAATCCGTCACCACAGCAACGTGAAGTGGCTCCGAGGTGCCAGGGGCAAAAAGTAAGATGGCACACTCACACACAAACAGCCTGGGAAAAAAAAACACACACACAACAACAAGCGTCCTTCTCTCCACACTTTAAGTCGTTCGGTCTCTTGTTGATTCTTTGACGTAATCCGACATGAGAGGGAGAATCGGTTTCATTAGTTATTCCAGTGTTGAGCTTCATGAGCTTTAACAAACAGGCAGGAATTAGACGGCTAAGCCAGCAGGACCTTGGAACGGCAGCATGTGAAAACTAGGCCTCGCTTGCCAGTAAATCCTTGATCAATGCAAATGTATCTTCAAGGTTTCAAGATCTCATGAATTTCTCGAGTTTAATTTGGGCGGGGGGGTCCGTGAGAAGCCTGAGCACTGGGCAGTCCAACAATACACACACATATACACACACACATAGCTCCAAAAAACACCTCTATGTTTGGAATAGCATGCTGCTTTTACTTTTCCTGCAGTATTGATAAAGTATATCATCTGCAGTAGGTGGTTTTTCAGTATAAATAAAGTGGAATCAAGCACACTGCGTAGAATACTATGCACAAAATGCAATGCACTCTATTTGATTCTAAATTTTCAGTAAAAAAATGTGATGTTTTATTATTACAGGGTCGTAGTCAGGTTCGGGTGGTTCAAAAGACCCATCCCCCAGTGATTTAAGGTCCAATATTGTCCCATCCATAAGCTCTTATTTTGACTGTTATGCCATCATTCATTCATTTTCTTTTCGGCTTAGTCTTTTTATTATTCTGGGGTCGCTACTTCGGAATGAACCACCAACTTATCCAGCATATGTTTCACGCTGAAGATGCCCTTCCAGCTGCAACCCATCACTGGGAATTATCCATACACATCAACTCGCACACCACAGACAATTTAGCTTGTTCAATTCACCTATAGCGCATGTCTTTGGACATGTGGGGGAAACCTGAGCACCCGGAGGAAACCCACATGATCACGGGGAGAACATGTATAAATAATCTGTATCGTAGCTTCTTACTGCTAAAATGCAGTGAGTGATAGTTAAAAAAAGGAACTGAAAAGATATTAACTTACTTAAACAGTTATTCCGATTTGTTTTTAAATATTCTGAAATGAAACACAGGAAACAGTACGCACAAATAAAATGACCTAACCTGTCCTTAAACGTGTTGAACTCAAATAAGAAAGATAGTATAGCTTATTATAAAAACTAAAAAAAATAAAAAAAATAAAAAAATAATGTATCGCTCAGCAAACTAACATGGCTGAAACAACTTTGAAATTGTACTTTGCTGTTGCTTTCCACCAGATTGAGAGTCACTGGTAATTGTTTCAGTTGACCTTTTTGCAAAACACTAATTTTTTTAGGAGCTGGTTCTTACAAATTACCAGTTTTTGTTCGGTGTCTGTGACTTTGAAAACAAAATATTCCCATATTACCAATTTCCTGTTTTTGGTCCCACTTTATATTAAGTGGCCTTATCTAAAATGTATTCACATAGGAACTAATAGTTTGTTACAATGTACTTATTGTGTAACTACATGTATTTACTGTGTACTTATGCTTGATTAAATACATGTATGTAGTTACATCTGTAACTAACTTTTGTAATTACACTTGTAAATACACTGTTGATCATCCCTTACACCTTAACCCACCCTTAAACCTACCCATGCCATCAAACCTGTCCATAACCCAACCTCTATCCCAACTCAAAAGCACCACAAGTGTTCTCAAATACATTATAAACACAGTAAGTACATTGTATTTATTTTTTTAATGTAAGTACATAGTAGTTAAGGACACTTAATATAAAGTGGGACCCTGTTTTTCTTTGATATTAATTTGTCTATTAATGCTTCTGCTGCAGCAAATGTCATCATTCCACTCTTCCGCGCTTTCCTGTTCTTAGTTCGGTTGCGCAATTCTGATTAGGCAGAACAAAAGTGTGCTCACTCAATTGGCTAGTAACACAGTCACAGACGGCAGTCACGCATTTGCTCTGGGCTAGGGAAATCAAATAATACACACAGCTGAAGTCGGAATTATTAGCCCTCCTTTAAATTTTTTATCTTTTTCAAATATTTCCCAAATGATGTTTAACAGAGCAAGGAAATTTTCACAGTATGTCTGATAATATTTTTTCTTCTGGAGAAAGTCTTATTTGTTTTATTTCGGCAAGAATGAAATTAGTTTTAAATTTTTTAAAAGCCATTTTAAGGACAAAATTATTAGCCTCTTTAAGCTATATTAATTTGGATAGTCTACAGAACAAACCATCGTTATACAACAACTTGCCTAATTACCCTAACCTGCCTAGTTAACCTAATTAACCTAGTTAAGCCTTTTAATATAGTCAAATATTATTTACTGTCATCATGGCAAAGATAAAATAAATATTATTAGAAATGAGTTATTAAAACTAATATGTTTAGAAGTGTGTTGAAGAAATCTTCTCTCTGTTAAACAGAAATTAGGGGAAGAAATAAACAGGGGGGCTAATAATTCTGACTTCAACTGTATATATATTTCATATTGCAGCCTCTTGCGATTAACTAATTGCAATGTTTCAAATCACGATTGCGGGTTGATTTCGATTAATCGCACAGCACTAGGTTGCACTGTCTTCGGTCCATTTTCCATGTATTTTTCATTTGAAGAGTACATTAGGAACTGATCTGAGACTCACCTTTTGTTTGGTGTGGATGGCAGGATTCGAACACACTAACAATTATTTCTGTTCGGGGCATCCCTAATGAGCGTTCGCTCAAGGTGAGAAGGTCAAAGGTCACTTGACGTTGAAGCCGTCCACAGAGAAAGCGATTTAAATCATTGATTGAGGCATGCATTATTCAGAGGCGCCGGGTCTGTAGGTTTATTGTGTCGACCTGTTCCAGGTGATTATTTTGCTGATAAAACACTCATGTGTCAGTTATAAATAGGAGAGCAGCTCTCCATTATTCATGGGACAACAGCGGGACATTTGTCTTCCTCCGCACGGATTATGTTAAGGAGGGAAACGCTGGGCAATTCGTGTCTGTGTTTACTTCCTCAATATGCTCCGCCGCAGCACGGCTTAATGGTGCAAGACTGTAGATTGTGAATTCGGCTGGGAAAAGTTCAGGAGGAGATCGCATCATAAAAGTTTGATAGAGCTTGAAAGTATGATGCCTGAACGCTTACATTCTGTGCAAAGTGTCATTTATTGGTGTCACGGTGGCATAGTGGGTAGCATGATCACCTCACAGATAGAAGGTTGCTAGTTCGAGCCTTGGCTGGGTCAGTTGGCATTTCTGTGTGGAATTTGCATGTTCTCCCTGATGTTTGGGTTTCCTCTGGGTGCTCCGGTTTTCCTAACAAGTCCAAAGACGTGGTACAGGTGAATTGAGTAAGCTAAATTGGCCGTAGTGTATGTGTGTGAATGAGTGTGTATGGATGTTTTTCAGGTGGAGCAAAGCTTTCTACAAAGAATCTTAGTGTACTGATTAGCAGGATAACACGCCATGCCATAAAGTGCGAATCATCTCAGGCTGGTTTCTTGAACATGACAATGACTTCACTGTGCTTAAATGGCTTCCACAGTCACCAGATCTCAATCCAATAGAGCACTTTTGGCATGTGGTGGAATGGGAGATTCGCATCATGGATGTGCAGCCGACAAATCTGCAGCGACTGTGTGATGCTATCATGTCAACATGAACCAAAATCTCTGAGTAATATTTCCAGTACCTTGTCGAACCTATGCCACAAAGGATTAAGGAAGTTCTGTAGGCAAAAGGGGGTTCAACCTAGAAAGGTGTACCTAATAAAGTGGCCAGTGAGTTTATGTTGCTATTTTCTAGACTAGTTTGGCTAGGAACTATACTTTCATTCTGGTATAATAATCAAGGAATTTACTGGCTTACTACGGCTGAAGCTAGCGCAATATTACTACACAGCGCCTGAAAATATTTGCCAGCTAGGTAAAAGCGCTGCGTAATATCATTGTGCAGCCATGGTGCGCCAGTAAAGTTCCTTGATAATTAAGCTATACGTTTAATCAATTTTAGCACTCCTCTCTAAAGTGTTAAGCCTCCCATTTGCAACCCCAACAAAAAGAATCCTGGAGCCTCTGCTGCATAAAAGGACTTTTTGTTTCATTTTATGGCCCATTTTAAATCACATTCCCTTTTATTTAACAGCCTAGATTTCCTGATAATTACAGTACGACCTCACGTCGGATAGCAAGTTGGATCAATGTTTATTTTGGGCAGACCATCCACTTCAGATTTACCCGTTTTGCCTGTGTTCTTCATTGACGTTTTGTTGGACGACTCCGCATCAAACCCGTCCAATGTGAGCTCCTGGTACTCCATCGAGACCTTAGTGTCTTGGTCGGCTATATTGATTGGCGATTGGTTTCTCTCCTGGCACTCAGGAAAAGCTGCCGCCCAGCCTGTATCTGGTCCGTACGTCCCTGCAGAAGAGAAAGACAGCAAATCAATGGATCATCACAGTGCAAACAGAAGCCGAACCGCTCCCAGACTCACTTTATTCTTCATAAATGCCAGTCAAAACACGCTAGAGCTGTCCTGAGACGACCATCTGTCTGTCTGCGTGTTTCATGGAAAGTATAAAAACCTGACAGATTTGACAGTTTAGTCACACTTTAATCCGAGACCTTTGAACTGCGCAGACTAAAGCAGACACGACTTTGTTTCAAATTCTGCCGACTCTACAAGAATTCAGTAGAGGAAAACTGTGTTCGGAGGTAATCAGGGACACTGCAAGACTCTGAATTCTGCTGTAAAGCAAAATATTCACAGATAAACCCTTATCTGATCTTTGGCACCTCAGATATGCGCAAACATTGACTTGTTAGTGAACACCTGAAAATGGAATGAGTTCTTTGATATGGTGTTATGTGAGTGACACAAGCCAATCTCGTATTAATAGGCCCATTTATCCGCAAATGTTTCAGCCCATCATTCAATCTAGGGCTGAACAATCCCTGCAGGCACAGGACATCAACATGACGTCATATTGACATCATACCCCAACGTCTCAGGATGCTGGATTTTGTTTGGAAATGAAAATCTGGTTGACGTCAGAACACAATGTCAGGCTGACGTCAATGTCCAATGTCCAACCTAAAATCGACCAAATATTAACGTCTAATCATGTTACACCTTGACGTTGTGTGGACAATCCCACTATGACATCTATAAGACGTTGGGTTTTGGTCACTTTCTAACACAATGTAAAAGCAACCAAATATCAATGTAATTTGACGTCATTATCGGACGTCAAAATAACGTTGTACTTAGACGCTGACTAGACATTGAATTTTGGTCACCTGACGTCATGACCTAAATCTAACCTAATATTACCGTCTTATGATGTTGTGTACCTGCTGGGATATTTCATTTAAGCATTCATATCGTAATGTGTGTATCTGCAATAGTCATATCGCAGAATTATATTATTTATTAAAGATTCAAAAATAAAGATATTATTAAATATTATAATTTTAAACTATTAAACTATTTTTACAATGATGATCATGTTATTTTACATTTGATTGTTCAACTTTTGTACATAATTACTGCCACACTCCCCCAAAACCCTCCAATGCACTGTTTATTTATTTATTTATTTATTTATTTATTTATTTATTTATTTATTTATTTATCCATCCATTTATTATCATTTATGCAGATGCACTGCATAGGAAAAGATTTAATCATCATCTTCAAACTAAATTAACAAAATCTTTCCAAATCGAGATATTCAAATCCTCTGGTAAAATTATATATATTACAGATTTTTCCAATATCAAGCAGTCCAAGTTTAATCTATTTATGTACCTATGTAAATGTTTATTTATTCAGTTTTCATATTCATTTCAGTAATATTATTGAATAATATGCAAATGTTTGGATAATTTACATAATATACAATTTGTGAAGTATTAACTTTTGTCTTCTACTGGATGCATTATATGAAAGGCCTGCAGTAGCTGTGGTTCTAATTAGCATTTGATTATGTGTTTCTTAATTTTATAAGAAGGTTTTTGGCCAATGCATTTTTAAATTCATTCTGTATGAATCTGCAGTTTTTATAAATCTGCAGTTCTTATTATATATATATATAAATAATTTTTTTTACTCAACCTTCCTTGCTTTTTTTTGAGATATTTCACTTTAAAGACCAGGAAGAGAACTTTTATATAAGAAAATGTATGTCAGCAGAACTCTGGGTAAATGCAATACATCATAGTTTACGAGGCCAAAGATTGTCAAATGTGAGGTAAACAAATGGAGTATAGATGCTGGATGTTGCTTTATTAATGTGTAAAAGTAAATACGTTGGATTTCTGCTTTAAGCCAATGGGAAGATGAATGTTGAATTATAATAGCATATATTTATTAGGTTTCCTTTATACACAAGTATAAGTTCCATCACACAAGAAAAAAAGGTGCGTTTTTTTTTATGTTTTACTCGTTAATTCCAGACCATATTTGATTAATTTGTTTAGATGATTTAACTTACAAGCTGTCCACATTAAATAATATTAGATAAACAAATTAATCTTAAATGAAGAATTATTTAATATTTACTCACCCTTGAGTGGTTCCAAACCTTTATGAATTTCCTTTTTTTGTCTGCCGAACACAAAAAAGTTCATTTGAAAATTAATAGAAACCTGTTTTCATTGACATCCACAGTTGGAAAAACAAATACTATGGCAGTCAATGGTTACAGGTTTCCAACTTATTCCTTATTCCATCTTTTGTCCAACAGAAAAAGATTCAAACAGGATTTTTGACCATTAAAAAGTGAGTAAATAAAGGCAGAATGTTCAGTTTTGTGTGGACTATCCCTGTAAAGTACATTTAAATACGTTTTGCTTAATAATGACAACAATTTAAATAAAAATGGCCAAATTTAATATAATTCAAATTAATAGTTGATGAAGATGCTAAAGCCAAAGTTATACAGCACTGCTGATAAAACATTAAAACTACTTCATCAAACATTAGCAGTAATGCTACTATTAATTCATTCATTCAGGTTAGTCCCTGCCACAGTAGAATGAACCGCCAACTTATCCAGCATATGTTTTACGCAGCGGATGCCCCTCCAGCCAAAACACCCATACACTCTCGCATTCACACACATACACTAGGGCTAATTTGGCTCATTCAAATCCCCTAAAGCGCATCTATTCGGACACAGAAACACCAACTGACCCAGAGACTCGAACTAGCAACCTTCTTGCTGTGGGGAGACAGTGCTAACCACTGACTCACCAATCCTACAATTATAATCACTGTTTTATTTCAGTAAACGACAGTGCTTTCAAAACAACGTCTTCCAGTAACCAGCTATTTGGCCCAACAATTAGCATTATAGCATACTAAAACGCGTAAGTAGCTTCAACAACACTGCGTAATAATCAACGATCAATGTCACACAGAAGAGACCCTTGACGCCTTAAACCTAATAAAATAAAAGTATGCACAGGCAATTTTACTTCAGCACACAAAATGAGACAAGCAAACAAGACGAGGATATTTTAAGAGTCCATTAAAGCCTCTACTACAGTTAGAAGCGCCGCTTTGGCTTTGCTCACAGTTACAGCCTGCCAAATCATAAATGCACCTTTCAGAGCAATAACCACATCCTGATGAGACGCTATAGTGTGTGTGTGTGTGTGAGTGTTTCGTCTCTCGCAGACTTGCTGAGAAGCGAACGCCGGTGCGCTAAACAGAAGCTCCATCCCTAATTGAAAGCAATCCTCAGCTACCGGCCTTTAAGATGAATTTGCCGACAATTACCCTGGCCCTGCAAGCATCCGGACCCATCCGAAATGCGTATTTCATCAAATTAGGATTCATCCTCCTCAGCCTCTGCCCTGGCTGCAGCCTTGGGGCGTATTGATTGGACAGGTCTGGGTTTCATATGGAGCGGCAGAGTGCTATAGATCCAGGCAGCACTGCTGGGTAATGAAAGAGAGCGAGGACCTGCGTGTGAAGAGATTACTCACTCCTTAATGCAGCCCTAACAGGGTTAGAAAAACTGCACACGCAAACTTAATCCCAACCACACCTCGGGATACGCATCTCAGATGAGAAAAACAGCGGTCTGAGTACATAACCCTGCCTCCGAGCAGGAAAAAGGAGGATCGCTAGTATTTCTCTTTGATTCCTTTTGCTGGGTTTATGAGCTTGTTTGTTCGGTTACATCTATTTTTCATTTGTTTATGCATTACGCTATGGCCACTTAACATTAGAAGTTAGGGCCGACGTATATGGAAAATACAGTTACCAGCGTTAAGCATGTTCTTTTAACCAGTTAAACTCTGCTGTTATTTTGGGATTTCCGTCTGGATTTTGCCTACCCAAATTTAAAAGCTTCCCAAATCCACATGCAGAGGTGTAATAACTGAATACAGTTATTTAAAATAACTGTATATGTTGTCTGTGTTATAATAAACACCTAATAAAGGTGTGCTTTTTGTATCTTTTATTTATAAACTCAAATTTGAAAGTGTACCTTTTAGGTTCGGTGTGGTCTAGGGTGCTGTAATTAATTTTGTTGGTTCGTGCACATGTCTGTAATCATAGGAAAAAAGAAAAATGTCTCTACCATAATCTATGCAAAAGTTATGTATTACAAGTAATGAGAGGTGCTATACAAGCCACAGGGAGCGATTATTATTTTCACATTTCACTATTCTTTTGTTTGATCAAACATAATTCACTGTGTTTGGACCACATCAGACATATAAAAGGATTACTTATGCACATCACCTCAAAAACAGAGGAGAAATGGCCCTGAAGCGCACAGCATAAGGTAAGAGATGACAGCTGTCGGTGCTATCTGGGGCTGCTTAGTGATCATAAATGTATTGCTTTAACTTCTACGCCAAGGAAACACCGTTATTCATTAAACAACTGTTTGATATGTGAATATAATTCAGTAAAAAGAATGCTAGAACCGTCTGAGCACTGGCAAGAGCTTTCATTTGAGCTATAACTTGAACATGTGTCATATATGAACCATATAAAAATGAACTAATGTTCATCACCCAGCTCGGGTATCCAAAATACTGTGTATTTAAGTGTAAATAACTTTTGTACAGTAGAATGAAAACCAAAGTGAAGCATATGTGCAGAAAATAGAGATTCTACACTTTCAAACGAAACCACTTATGAGGGTCTGGTGCAATGCTAGCTCTTTAAATCTTAAAGTGAAAGTCGATGACGTCACAGACCAGGTACTTGATCTGCAGAGTTTAAGTGTGATTAGTTATAGTCGGTGCTCGAATTGAGGGGGGATGCGGCGGGGATGGCATTCCCCTTATAAAATATATATATATATATATATCCCCCTTTTTGTAAAACCAGCATCCCTTTTACCATCCCCTTTAGATTAACATGTAAAATTTATCATGCTAATTAAATATTAAAA